CGAAAGATGAGGAAATCTTCACCCCAGGACAAATCCATGAAAACCCTGTTTAGAATTTTATAAACCTAATTATAGGAATATGTTATTTCACCAATACAATGCCATAAAGATAAATGAATAATGAACGTGTGGGACACGTTATCGCTGTGTGCGTCATCGTATGCCTGCATGTCTGCTCGCCAGGATTGGGAGGTATGGACGTACAACTCTGTGTGCAGCGACCGTACAAACAGTGACCAATCATTAACCTCTGTTTAACCTAATCCCCCATCCTGATCATGAGTAGCTCCATGCGTGTACACTTGATCCGCAATATACGTCCTGAATAAACGTGCTCCTTGCTACACGTCTGTTTCCTTTATAGCTGGGGTATGGCTTAGCTGGTTCTGGGAGTCTAGCTAGATGTAGTAGGATCTGCCGCAGAGATTTCTAAGTCAGTCAGGCTTTACTAGTGTAGCAATCCGCTACAAACGTAACCATTTTCCATAAAGACACCGACATTCAGGGCAATTTCCCACTCGGAAATGCTCGTAATTTTATTTTTCTAGGTATCTCGATTTTGAAGAAACTGCCAGATTGATCACTTTTCTGGTGTAAGAGTAAACAGAGGTTATTGAGAATAAGTCTTTCATATTTCGTCCACCTCTACAAAGTTGATAGCATTCAGCACTTCACTCTAATGACCAAATTGAATCAAGTCGTTTATTTCAATTTTTTTAACTAACAAAGATCTTCCATTGGCTCTCTTAATTATAATGTCATTTGAAAAATCTCCTATTCGATTAGCCTTAATTTTGGGATTGGGAAGACAGTGTCCCTATGGCCATATTTTTTGCTCAATGACGAGTCCTTATCGAACCTAATTTACCTGAAATTTTAATTTAAGCAATTTATGATATCTTAAGAAAGCTCCACAATTTGAATTCAAGGTATTTTGTATTGATTGAACTACGACAAGAATTTAACTGAGTAGGGTAGAGGGAGGAAATTGAATGACAAAGTAGTGTCGGTGTGTAGACATGTGAGTGGAAATAGAAATACAGTCTATATGGGCCACCTGGGTAAAAATACGTGTTTTGATGTTACTTATTTATTTATTTCAAATGGCAGGCGTTTTAATAGAAATCATTAGTCATTTAGCTGACTTCGGGCTTCACAGAGGGAAGGTTCATCAAAGTAGCAGAAAGTCGAGGGGTGGGGAACAGGAGGGCGATTCACAGATGTAAAAGAGTCAGACAGACACAAAAGTAGAGAAAAAGGTAAGGTGAGTACTGCGGAAGGGGTGGAATATGACAACCAGGGGGGTCGTGGTAGGTTGAAATTAGAAGTCAACTGCCGGTTAATAGACTTTTTTGCCGTATGGATGTCAACTGCCGATTAATAGACTTTTTTGCCGTATGAGAAGTGATAAGTCAACTGCCGGTTAATAGACTTTTTTGCCGTATGAGTGGGTTGCCCAGGGTGCACCGCGTGGAGGTAAGTCTATCGCAACAACTGCCGGTTAATAGACTTTTTTGCCGTATGAGTATACGGTGCCCAGGGTGCACCACGTGGAGGTAAGTCTAAATATACATTGCCCAGGGTGCACCACGGAGGTAAGTCTATTGCACACCCCATGATACCTATCATAACGCCTGCCATTTGAAAGTACGTTGTCCAGGGTGCACCACGTGGAGGTAAGTCTATCGTATTCTTAAGAATAATTGTTTAGAAAACCAGCAAGGGTTGAAAGTTGCCCAGGGTGCACCACGTGGAGGTAAGTCTATCGCACGTTGCCCAGGGTGCACCACGTGGAGGTAAGTCTATCGCACACACACTTTCCATCGTCCTTTGAAGGTCGTAACAGTGTTATGAATTAGAAGGGCAAGGATATTTTTACGCAAAGAATATGCTCAAGGGGTAATTTGCTTAAACGCATTGGGAGTCATCTTCAATGTCCTGAGAAAAGCATTCATCTCAGGTGTAAGGGGTTCTTGACTTAGCCGATCGCATACCCCTAATAATTATGAGGCCGTTACTGAGCATCACTTAGCCTAAGCATCTCAAGCTATTTTTTGTTATCTTAAGGAGCTCGCACTAATTATGCAACACCAGTCTTTCATTGCGCAAGTGAATACGTTGCATAATATGATGGATTAATTCCGCTTGATGTCTAAATATAAATTATTTTAAGGCGTTATGACGTAAAGAGTCAAAACATCGGTTGTCATCATTTTCAAGTGGTCTTTAAATAGCTTTCACATAAGGGCATATCATTTCATAATTATATTGCCTGTGAAGCTGGTAAAAATGTGGGAAAAAGGTGAGCACATAAATATTTTAAATAAACAAGCTTCTTCACATATTGAGAAAATTATCAGTGTTAGGAACTTGTATCGAATTGATACACTAGTAAAGCCTTAACCGACTCAGAAATCTCTATGGAAGTATCTCCCATATCTGGCTAGACTGCCAGAATTAGCTGCGCTACAGCGAAGCTATGGAGGAATAAGACGCTTTGCACCGAACATGTTAATTGGAAATTATGATAAGGGCAAATACGAGTAGTTATCAAATAAACCTGGCATAATTTGAGCGACCATTAACAGTTTAATATCTGAACAGTGCTCTTCGCATACTGCCACACACTCCAAATCCTGGCTCCATGCATGCAAGCTCAAGAGATAACTAGTAACGGAAGTATATCAAGGAAGCAAAAGGAAGTGGAAGACGGAGGGCAGTAGATAGACGTTTAAGTGCTTGAAAAAGAACTGTTAATCGGCATTTAGTGTGGTGGAATGGAGGATTTCATGTCCTGACCAGTGAGAGAGGTAATGAGAGATGAGAGACAATCAATAATACTGACAATCTCATTCGAGAGCTTGGCGATACTAAATTCACCATCACCAGTGGCAAAATTTGTGACCTTCTCACAGTTTGTCAGTAATGCTCTGATCTCGGCTGCTACTCAGGGCAGGGCCTGCAGCACCATGTCCAACATCGCTGCTCCCTATTAAGAGAAAAAATTAGGAAAAAGGAGGCTTCTATTCTAGAGCCATTTTAAGAGAGGCTACGTGGGGAGTTGGTACTTGAACAAGAAAAGCGCCAAGAAACGCCAGACATTTTGGTGTCTGCAGGTCAGATATACTTGAATCAAATAAACGGCAATCTTACAAATGGAAATGCTGCTTCAAGTGGAATGAAGTTTGGGGTCATTTTCCAAAATAAATGTTTGATTAGAAAGACCTAGGCTTTTTCTTACCAACTTACGCATCCACAGGACATATACTCAATGAATTTACTTAAACAGTAAATGTTGAAAATGGGAGTATTAATAAATAGTTTCAATAGCTTACTTGCCCCGCCTCGGCGATTGGTCGAAGACAGAAGCATACTGAAGCACTCGGGCTTCTACAGCCATCTTTTCACCTCCAATTTTTTGACAAGTCTTGCCATCCTATAAATAGAGTGCATTACACGTAAAATAAGCAGAGCGTGGAAAATATAAAGTGCTCATCTTGGATAAAAGTAACATTTTTGTTGTCTAACTTTTACTAAATAGTGAATATTCGTTAACCTAGGCCTATGAGAGAATGTAAAATTAACTATTTCTGAAACACTAACTGTTCCTCGGCCTCCCAAAGTGTGCTCGAGCTTATCTTTGATCCCACCTGTTAATATTACAAACATATGGGTAGCTTGATTGACTTACCTCCAAGTGGTGTACTCTAGGCAACGTGTACTCATACGATAAGAAAAGTCTATAAACTGGCAGTTGACCTCAAAGAACCATGTTAAATGAATCAGCAGTAAATTAAAAAGTATAGAAATCCCGAAATCAGAAATCGTGCACTGAATACCACAACCTCGTGTCTGTCATGTGAAGTTCCCGTTGTACTCTGCTATGTTATCAAGTGAAGGCCTGGCGTGTATCTCAATTTCTCTTGTTAGAATTTGGAAAAAAAGTGTTCATTGCCCTTGTGAATTGACTATATTGGCCCAAAATCTGACCCATTCTTGACGACACAAAATTATGTAACATCCACAGAAAGTCGAAATCCTTCACAAGACATTGAACGTAACTACAGAAGTATTGGCGATAAATTGTATGTAAAACTGTCTACACACATACTATTTATTGAATCTTCTTTCCACCGTATAATAGTCTAGAATTAACCTCCATCCCAATAAGAGATTCCTACAATTCAAATTCAATTCGTTACAGTCACGCGTCGTGGGCATGTACTTAATAGGCCAGAGACCACGGGCCACTGCAGATTTCACAAGTACCATCTTTCAATTCCTGCAAATTGAATATATTTTCACAATGGTCAAAGGGGCTACTCCTTCCTGGAATCCATATCTGGCATATTCACTCTTGGTAAATACTTGAACTGCATCCTTTGTGTGACCTATTTTAAGACTCATGGGTGCTGTGAAAAGCAGATTAGGGTGCGACAGCTCAGTTTTGACTTATATGCGCTTTTTGAAAGGGCACAGATAGCAAATGAATCATGGGATTTTGGTTAAGGAAGGGAAATACGTTCTTAATCGCTGTTTGCTTTAAAGGAGAAAATTACGGCAAAATTGAAATCTGCTTCAGTGGTTTCTGCCATAAGTCAGCTTTAACAACTCCAACCCATAGAAGCCGTATTTCGTCCCCTGATACCAGCCCACTTTAAAACATCAGCATCCGAAATCCTTAATAATATCGTATTAAATTAATTTTTGACAAATTAGGGTAATATCAATTGACATATTGTAGTATAGGAAATTGTAGAGTCTTAAAGTAAATTGGGCATTTTGAAAAGAAGAAGGAAACTTGATTAGTTATCGGTGATTGAAAGGGCATAATTTCAGGGAAACCTATCTCCACATTGTTTATACATCGCTTTCCTCTGTGGATGTTTCGTTTGAAGGGAGCGCACGTAAACGACGCTTCACACAAACACCGATCAATGCAACTACTATAGCAAAGCAACTCAAGACAGCAAAGATGATAATCATAATGGGAGAATTGGTCACTATAACACGTCTAGCTAAAAGAGAAATCAAAACGATTTGTAATGATAAGTTGGTAAAATGAATTAGTAAATGAAGGCAAGAAAGCACGTGTTTTCGAAGATTTAGATCAAGAAATTCAGACGATGGATACAAAACACCCCATTCATCGATAAACAATTTCAAATTGCACTGATTTCTGAGCCCAATTGGACGTACAGATGTTGAATGTTGAGTTGAACAAGTGCAATTCAACAGTTTCACTTATAGATACTCCATGTCAGGCATAATTTTTTCTCTAACTCAAAGCATGCAATGGAGACCATAGTATGTGATCGAAGATCTACGCTGGTGTGACGCAAATTGAAGATCTTCTTAAGAGTGCATTTCTCACCTCTGGTGAGGTGACACTGGAAGTGAGTAAATAGCAATGAAGTTGATTTAGTCTTCACATGTGCGGCAGCAACTATTAATCTACAAATAAATCACTCTTATCTAATCACCTTCAAAATGCACCATTCAGTAGAGTAGATAAGTAGAAATTTTGTAAGTACTGCCAAAGCTGTTCACTTTGCCGGCTGACGAATGCTATTTTCTTTCACCACTTCTCTCAAAAATTACAAGCAAATTGTTGACAAAATATAAAAAGGTATAAAGGTTAAGATATTATTTTACGAAGTCAAAATTCGTTGCTTACCACTTGCATATTGTACGGCGACAGCAAGAAGTGTTACAAGAACGCTGAGAAAATAACGCATTCTCGGGGAGTGTGGGAGCAGATCTAAAGATTTTGATCGATGTTTTTATACTTTGCACAAGCCACCTATGAGAAGGCAGATTGCATCACCGTTCTTCTTCAGTAGTATTGACAAATATGCCGATGTGTTCTTATTTTAGTGAGGAAATACTCCAATATGTATGCAATTATTGATGATCTAAAATTGATGAGTCATCAATCACGTAAGCATAATTGTGAAGCCCCAATTTTTCTTTACTTGAAAAAGTCATATTCAAGACCTATGTTACCCTTTTCGCCAACTGTATGAGGTGCTAATAGTTGACTTTGTTTGAGAAGTCAACAGATTCACCGATTCATATTTCAAATTCAATTTTCCCCAAATTATTGTGTATCACTGTTACATTGAAATCCCTTGAGGCCATTTCTTCAAATGCTTTCATGGCCACCTTCACCACAGGCTCGAAATAATTGAAAGAGAAGTGTTCTAAAGAGTTCATAACTTAATTTCACTCGCTGCGCTGTAATTAAACAAAGGTAACGCAATTCCTTATCTATAACTTTATATACACGGGTTGTTTACTTCTTGCCATATTTCCAAGCAATTAGATACGTCTCTAAGAAGACATCCATGCACAGGCGTATTTAACTTTTTTAACGCCATCGGTTAATAAAATGTTATTCACGTGAGATTGGATGAAACTACAGGAGCATTCGCGTTAAAACGTGTGAGCAAACCACTAGCCCTAAAAACTCTATTTCCAACCACATTTCAACTAAATATTTTACTCAGTTAACTTTCATGACAATAGAAGAATTTTACAATGATGGTCTCTGGGAGACCTGTTACAGTTATATGTCGAGTGCCTCCACTAAATTTTCTAAAGACCACTGGCTCTCTGCGGTGTTAATGATTGCGATCAACAAATTCTTGCAGGTTGAAAATATTTTCCCATCGTAAGAAGAATTACCGTGTGAAATGGGCTTTTACGTCTTGGCAAAATTGTCTGCCACTTGATTATTTTTAGCTTGATATATTTTATGTATGTGCGGCAACTCAGACTTGCCTTAAGTGCTCTTTTTAAAAAGGCAGATATGTCGAATGAATGAATGTATTGATTTGTTAAAGGAAAGTTAAGTTGATGCTTACTTGAATTATTTCAAGAAACCAAGTGATGAGAAGCTAAGCTTTTCATTGAATTTCAAACTAACAATGGTAGGATGCTTGCAAAGGATATTTGTTGCCTCAGAATTACCTCCACGTGGTGCACCCTGGGCAACGTATACTCATACGGCAAAGAGTCTATTAATTGGCCGTTGACTTCTCACTTCAAACTACTATGACCCTACCGCATGTCATATTCCACCAGTCCCAAAATATTCACCTTCCCTTACTCTCAACCTTTTTGTCTGTCTCTTTTACATCGTTGAATGCGCAATTTGATATGCATTTTCATAAAGACTATAGTGATTAACACTTGCTTCGAAGTTCATAGTATTCTCCTATAATTATAAGTAGAAGGAACGGATCATCTAAAACTCAGATGAATGGGTCTAGAAAGAAAGGAGGAATGCTGCAAACAATCACCTGAATTTGATAAGTGAGGTTAGCTTTGGCCTGCATGATCCCAATTTCCTTATCACAGACAGCTTTGAGCCCTAGCAACTCGGGCTCATTTTTAATCCCTCCGTAGCCTTTACCCCATCCTGCATGAATTTCAACATCTCTTCTCACGTCAGCCACATCAGTTCGGAAGACATGCTTCTCTTGAGCTGTACGAGCCATTGCCAAACGCCTCCAATTAGCCCTATTCAAATAGAAATGCATACAAAACCCCGTCTTTAAAGGCAAAAGAGTTGGCTGCTACACAAGACAACCACGGTGTTATTAATCGATTTTCTATGCTTGAATATTCGCATCAGTGTCTTCGATTATTTCCATTTAACGTCTGCTTAAAGTAGCAATATATATTAATCACCTACTTACGAAGTAGTGTTTGCATGGACTAAAAGGTCAAAACTGAGCCAGAAACAGATCATGATAAAGAAATAAAAGGCATTTTAAGGTACACTTTCATCATTATGGGGCAAAATTAGAGGCATGTGAATGGCTATCTGTTAAATATTACTAACTAACTAACTAATTAGAAGGATATCTTTTAAAAGTGATATTCCCATTGGATTAGAAATGAATTATTATGTGAGGCTGAAATTGTAAAATGGTACCTCCTGTCACCACTGATTGACTTGGATCTTATTTTTAGCTATTTTTTACAGGTATAAGTTGTGGAAAGCAGGTTAGGGTGTGGCATATCACACTTGGCTTGCATAATCATTTTGTTTAGGCAAAATAGCGAATAAATCAAGTATAGCTGTCAAGGAAGGGAAAATTAATGCCTTTTTTGAATCAATCTTCTTAGATGGAGAATGGTTATTGCGTGTAGATTTGAGCACACAATGCTCGTTGTGAAAAGCAAATTGTGTAAATCAAGCCTTCCATATCGAAAGGAGACTTGCCTTACTAATTCCTTCTACTTGTCTTAGTTTTACTGCCACTGCACAAGATGGGAAGAGGCGTTGCTTCGGACCTATGCTCTAATCCCCAAACATGAAATTCAATGTAGAGAGTGATGATCCATATGTGTGTGTGTTCTCTTTAGAAGATTTAGACAATGCCGTTTAAATTTGCTTCAAACTGCCATGACCCCACTGTATGTTATATTTGACTACTTCCACAGTACTCATCTCACCTTTATTCTACCTGTTCTACCTTCGTCTTTGAAACAGTCATCGATTTGTAATTCTTTCTTCTGTTCTATAACGTTCTGTATTAGACCAGATTGCGTTTTCAGATGTCTTGGTCACTCATGGGTGCTGAAGAACTTATCCATGGGAATGTACAGTATATGCTGAAGAACTTATCCATGGCAATGCGCAGTAACTTCTCATACAGGATCGAGGCCTTCTCTTTGATAAGGGTACATATTGTGGTGCTTCCTGTAACTAGGAGCATTGCATCAATGGGTGTTGATTTTATCCCTCCAGTAATTAGTCGTAATGCCTGGTTGTGTGCCTTCTCGAGTGGTTTGAGAGAGTCACCTCTGTGGCTGTAATGAGTGGCTCACAGCAATACAACATAATTGGCTGAATTGACCTCCTGTAAGTTGTGTTTAATGTTGAGCGTGCACAGCCCCATACGCCACCAGCAAGACGCTTCAGGACATTCAGTCTATTGGAGATACGTTCTGTTATTTTAGAAATGTGACTTTTCCACGTTAGCTTTTTGTCAATCGTCATTCCGAGATATGTGAACTCATTGGTTTTTTCTTGGGTAGTATCCTTATACCTTAGTATTGGGTTTATGCTTTGACGGGCCAAAGAAAAAGTTCGATAAATTAGAGAAAACAGAGATAATTTTGGTATTATTGACTTGGAACTCGAAAAGGAAATCCAGTTGACATTTTGCCGTTTTTCAACAATTTTGTCTAATTTAGGCGAAAAGATTTGAATAATTTAAATCAATTCGAGCATGTAATTATAGAAACTGAGAAAACCTACTTTAGAGTAGTCAGAAATCTTGATTGTTACGTATGAAAGCAAAGCCAAACTGGCTGTAAATTCCAAAAATTATCTGAATCTCCGATTCCGTATTTCCTTACATGATTTTTCGAGATTCCAACTACATTGAAACCCCTTATGGCCGGCTCAATATCTTCCATCGAGAAGTGGTCTAAATGGTCTTTAACATGTTATCTCGTTCCCCGTAATATTCTACTTTAGCTAAGACAATTCTAGATCTAAACCTACGTGTTCACCAAATACTCTCCTCATATCTTGTTCCCAATCTCCATTTGTCCAGCCCTGATTCGCATATCTGTCGAAGCATTCAATCAAGTGCAGTCCAATTTGCAATAAACAATAAATCGTCCGCATGTGACAAATACCAAGCCACCACTGAAATCCTGCTGAGTTTAGGGGCACAATTTTATATTTACAAATTTCATCCTCAATCAATCCTTACGAAAACACCATTTTCGCTTGTCAAATTTGAGTAATCATTAAAAGCCCAAATTGCAAAAGTGCAGCTACACAGTTCTGAATGTATGCTTCGAAATAATGCCCTAACGTGAGCTAAGTCATCACGGGCTTAATCTATTATTTACATAATTCTTTCTATACTTTTTTTATTAAATAGTGTCCTGTTGGCTCATTACACTGTGTTGTCTTTGAATCTCACGGACTGACCTCGCCTCTAACTACTTTAACGAATAAACCTCAAAGTAAACAATTTGTAAAAGATTTTTGTGACTCTTAATTCATCATTTATAGTAAAAACAATACTGCAAAGATATTTCCTACTAAAATATATTCGGATATTTCTTGCTTAATACCTTTCTATTGTCATTAGTTATTTTCTAAGATATGATATGTGTGAAAGCGTTAGTGACATTATTCAAATTGAACTTACAGGGCAAAATCATCTCGGCCATAGTAAAAGCCTATTGTTATTTTTTCATTAGTTTTGTATTATTACCAACATAATAATTAAGAAGTTCCCAATTGGTGCATTTATTGACCTCCAACTACTTTAAACAGATTAACTGAATCTATGGGACACGTCATCGCATGCCTGCACGCCAGGATTGGGAGGTGCGACATAACCTCTGTTTAACCTAATCCGCCATCCTGATCATGATGAAGCTCCCTGCGTGTACACTTTATCCGCAATACCCGTACTAATAGACGTGCTCCGAGCTACACGTCTGTTTCCTTTCATAGCTGGGCTATAGCTTACCTGGTTCTGGGAGTCTAGCTAGATGTTGGAGAATCTGCCAGAGATTTCTGAGTCAGTCAGGCTTTACTAGCGTGGCAATCCGCTACAAATCTCCATCTCAAATTGTAGCATTTTAAAAGAATTCGGAGAATATAAAAATTTAAAAAACAGCTTCAAAACACATGAAAAAAATCACTAAGGCAATTTTATGCAAGCGATTTTTCGAGTATTAATGAAAACAAATGTTTAGAAAAGAAATGTAAAGCAAATAGAGTATGAATCAGCGAGTGTTTTGACATAAGTTCACAAAAATGTTTGCCTGCATTGTTTATGCATCGAATTTTGAAGTAAGTGGGATTGAACTCTTCCGATGACTTGAACAACAACGATTTTTCGCCGCGGCCCAAATGACGATAATTGAAATAATTGACACAGCCACAGCTGCCAAAATTACGCTTGGTAAAAACCAAGACGAACTTAAAACGTTAATTTCATTTCCATCAGATTGTACTGAAATAAATATAAAAATAAAAATTTACTAATAAGGTCAAAAATAAACATAAATAGGTCTCAGTCTGACTTCAACCTTAATGTTCACCTCAAGATGTTATCAAGTAAAAACTACAACAATTTAATGTTACTTTATGGTTTGGTCGTGATAATGTTTAGCAATAATTCTTCTGTTAGCACAGATTTATTTCTTCCATTGTTATTGGTTACAATAAGATGAGAGTTAAGAGAAATACAAACAGAATGGTCGATGCTTATGCTCATTTGAGCAGACATTTCTCAATGAGATCAGGAACATTTAGACAGAGGAACAGTTGGAGAGGTGCTAATCACATGTGAACATACGATCATACAGGTGAGATAGCGAATATTTAATTATATTTATTTATTTCAAATGGCAGGCGTTTTGATAGCTATCATTAGCCCCTTAATTGACTTCGGGTTTCACAGAGGGAAGGTTCATCAAAGTAGCAGAAAGTCGAGGGTTGGGGAAATGAAGAGCGATTCACAGATGTAAAAGAGGCAGACAGACACAAAGGCAGAGAAAAAGGTAAGATGAGTACTGTGAAAGCGGTCGAATATGACAAGCAGTCGTGCCACGGTATTTTGAAGTCAGAAGTCAACTGCCGGTTAATAGACTTTTTAGCCGTATGAGTATACGTTGCCCAACAAATAGTACGCCACATCAACTGCATTTACGTGGGTTCTATTGACAGGCTACTTCCATGATAGCTGTTGTCCAGGGTGCACCACGTGGAGTTAAGTCTATCGCACACCCCTCTGAGATAGTGAATATATATGTGTGAAATATATGAAGGTTATATGACATTTCCGCACTTTCACTAAACACTTTGACTGCACTTACCCTGTTTCCAAGAGAGACTTTCCAATCCATTGCAGCTTCATCGAGAACACTAAGAATACTTGTTGACCAGTATTTAATTGGTTCTACCTGCGTTCATTGCATGCTTTGACCCAAAAAACCGTTCGCCACATCAACTGCTTTTACATGGGTTGAATTGACAGACAACTTCCATGATTAATACTCCGAATTCACATATAAGCAAATGGAAACTCTATTACTTCAGTTCCAATTCAGTTGTGAACAAATTGGGAAAAATTTATGGTTATGACTTGTGTGCATTTTCAGTCATACAATTTCATTTGGTAGCAGAACATGTGATTGTAAATCGACTTTGATAAAGCCCAACTGATGAATATCCGCTCGTATAGAAGTTCAACTTCTCCACATCTGGTTTGATGAGATTACTAATGAGTGAATAGGAATGGTGACGATTTGATCTCCAAAATTCTTTGACAGCTCCCCCAAACTCTTACATTCAGCCAATCTCGTCTAACCGCCTTCAACCTATGTCCAACAATTGTGTTGATAAGTTGACTATTTGAACTCTATATAACTTGTCAATTCTTATGCTTCCTCTTTGTCTACGCTTTCACTGTTTCACCGAGACACATGCGACTCGGCTGCAGTCTCACCTATGGGATTTGAAAGGAAGATTTCAACAGAAGTTTTGTCTTCCTCCCCAACGGCATTGCATAGCTTGCCCAACAAAGCTGATAACATTGGAGATCATGAAATTGACATTCTACCATTTATCTCATATTAAGCAACTCGCCAACTAACTGACTCACCAATGGTGTTGTTCCCTTGAACAGTTGTGCCAGATACACCACTTGCAATTTCCCCTACTGGCGCGTCTAAAGATTTGCAAAAACATTGTCAATCGGTAATACCGTATCTCGGACAAATAGACTATTTGAACTCTATATTAGCTTACCAACATTGTTGACCATCTTGATGTCGACGTTTGAACTGTTTCCACTTGGTGCGTTCGATTCGGCTTCAGGCCCACCTAAGAGATTTAAAACAAGATTAAAACGTAATTTTGTTTTCCCATTAAATGATTTTGCACTTCTTGCACAACCAAAATGATAACAAATAAGTGCCTACAAGAGACATTCTCCCATTTATCTCATTCTAATTTACCCGTTAACTAACTGACTCACCGAGGTTGATGTTCTTTAGAACATTTGAACCAGTTGCAACGCTAGCATTAGTTGCATTTACCACATCTAAAGCATAACCAAAGTGTTGTCAATCAAAAACATCAAATCTATAGTGGCCTTGAGGGTTGCTCAGCCACCCCACGCTCTGCAATACTTGAAAGCCTGTGGAAATGTTAGTACACAACATCTTGATTTCAATCTCAATTTTTTCATCAAGCACATTATCAAATTAAATCTACTACAATTTCACATTACATTTTGGTGCTCCGTGAGATTTTGAGCGATGCTTCTTTCGTTACCACAGTTATATGTGTTGCGTTGTTTTTGCCAATAATTTTAACAAAGTTTGGAGGAACACAAACAGAATGGTCGATGCTTATGTTCATTTGAGCAGACATTTCTCAATGAGATCAGTAGCATTTAGGCAGTGGAAGACTTGGAGAGGTGCTAATCACATGTGAGCATATAACCATACCGGTGAGACGTTGAATATATATGTGAAATATCTAAAGGCTATATGACTTATCTGCATTTACTCTAATTCCAGGTGAGACTTTCCAATCCACTGCAGCTTTATCGAGAATACTAAGAATGCCAGTTGAGCAGTGTTTAACTCGTTCTACCTGCCGTCATTGTATGCGTAGACCCGGCAAGAAGTAGGCCAATATGAGTGTACAACCTGCATCCCATCATTCATCTCATACTTACGTGGGGTGTATTGGCAGACTACTACCATGCTAACTACTCTGAATTCTTTTATAAGCAAAAAGAAATTCTAATACTTCCGTCCCACTTCGATGATGTACATATTTGGAATATTTGATGGATAAATGACATGTCTGCATTTTCTTAGAGAATTCCAAGTATGCTATTTCAAATAAATTTAACTCTCTACCTGTCTCAACGCGGTTTGAAGATATCAGCCGAGAAAGTCAAGCGATCAGAACCAACACACCTCATTCTAGGAAAACACTTTCAACTTGCAGCACATTTCGTGATTGTAAGTCCAACTTGATATAACATAACTGGTCTCCTTCAATCAACCCCAAAAAACAGTATTGATAAGCAAAATATTTAAAATGCTCTGCAACTTGTCTGCATTTCCCCCTGACTCTTTCATTGTTTCCAAGAGGCGCTTTCGACTCAACTGAAGTACCGTCTAGGTGATTTCAAAAAAAATTGTTCACATACAATTGGCACATCACATCCAATCTCAACGCATGGTTCAGTCAACGAAGAAGTACGTAAATGGAAGTATGGAAGTGACATCATATCACTCCCTTCATACTAAACCGCAAACTAAATAACTGACTCACCGTCGAG